GACCCATCATCCCCACGAGTCCAGCCTTCCCGACAAGCACTGGCCAGCAGAACAGGGCTCAGGAAGGCCTTTTATGGGCCTGCCAGCTCACGCTGTCACCAGCCAGGGCAAGGAAGCAGGACCCCCAGGGCAGTGGGAGGCTGGCCCCGGGGACTAGGAGGACAAGATGACTCAGAATTGGGTGACTGTAGTGTTTGGTCAGCTGGCCTGGGGAAGGAGTCATCACCGGTCCTCAGCCCACTCTCACCGTCGTATGCTCCCTGGGGTGACTGTCCCTGCCTAGACATACAGCTTTGGTCACAGCTCCCTCCAGGGAGGGTGACCCAATAGCTGCCCCTGGGGCTGAGCCACCTCCCAGCTCTGGGGGGTCCTGCGGGGAGCTGAAGGGGCAGAGCCCCTGGCAACCTTAGGCTTAGGGATCAATCAGGGCCCTCATCCCTTAAGGTAGCAGGCCCACGGGCCACATCTGTCCCCCGAGCATGTTTGTTTGACCCGTCTCGTGTTTCATAATGAATGACAGTCGTGAACATTTAAAAATCAGATTTTATTTAAATGCTCATGTTCAGTTTCTCTTGAGAAATCATACCTAGTGTCGCTGGGTCCGCATTCTGCCTATCCACTGTGCACTGGCCCAGAGGCCCACCGCCCCCTGACGCAGGCCGCCCAGCTGGGCACCCATGGCTCTCCCCAGCTGGCCCTGACCGCCGCTGCTCCGGGGTCTCAGTACCTGAGTCTGGTTCCTAGGCCCGTGGCTCTCCCCAGCTGGCCCTGACCGCCGCTGCTCCGGGGTCTCAGTACCTGAGTCTGGTTCCTAGGCCCGTGGCTCTCCCCAGCTGGCCCTGACCACAGCTGCTCCGGGGTCTCAGTACCTGAGTCTGGTTCCTAGGCCCATGGCTCTCCCCAGCTGGCCCTGACCACAGCTGCTCCGGGGTCTCAGTACCTGAGTCTGGTTCCTAGGCCCGTGGCTCTCCCCAGCTGGCCCTGACCGCCGCTGCTCCGGGGTCTCAGTACCTGAGTCTGGTTCCTAGGCCCGTGGCTCTCCCCAGCTGGCCCTGACCACAGCTGCTCCGGGGTCTCAGTACCTGAGTCTGGTTCCTAGGCCCGTGGCTCTCCCCAGCTGGCCCTGACCGCAGCTGCTCCGGGGTCTCAGTACCTGAGTCTGGTTCCTAGGCCCGTGGCTCTCCCCAGCTGGCCCTGACCGCCGCTGCTCCGTGGTCTCAGTACCTGAGTCTGGTTCCTAAGCCTGCTGTAACACATGGAGTCGGTGGCTTCAAAGGACAGAAATGTGTCCACCCGAGGCTGGGGAGGCCAGCCGTTAAAGTTTGGTGTCAGCAGGGCCACCTTCCCTCCTAAGGCTCTGGGGAGAGTCCTTCCTGACTATTCCGGCTTCTGGTGGCTGCAGGACTCCAGTCTCTGCCTCTGACTGAACTTGGCCTTCTCCTCTGTCCGCTCGCCCTCCGCCTTTCTCCTAAAGGACCCTTGTCATTGGAGTTATGGCTCACCCGGAGAATCCAGGATATGTCATCTAAAGATCTGTGTCTCAGCCCTGGCCGGTTTGGCTCAGCAGTTAGAGCGTCGGCCTGCGGTCCAGAGAGACCCGGGTTCGGTTCCCGCTAAGGGCATGTGCCTCGGTTGCAGTTTGTCCCCGGTCCCGGTTGGGTCGTGCGGGTGGCAACCACTCGATGTGTCCCTTTCATGTTTGATGTTTCTCTCTTCCTCTTCTTCTCTCTCCCTCCCGCTCTATCTGAACAAAAAATAAAAAAATGTCCTCGGGTGAGGATTAAAAAAAATAAAGATCTGTACCTTAATTACACCATCAAGGCTCCTTTCCCAGTAAGTTTACCCTCACACGTCCCAGACATGCGTAAAACTTTTGGGGGCCACCATTCAACCCTCTTCATGCCTCAGCTCCCTCCTCTGCAAAAGGGGGTGATACTAATGGCGCCTCCTCACAGGCTGCTGGAGAGCCTGAGCGAGCCAGGCGAGGACCTGGGGCACTAGGCATTCTCAGTGTTACTCCTCGTCTAGAAAGGGGAGAGCCGCCTGCGGGGCCAGTGGCTGGGGCGAGCAGGGCACTCCCGGGAGCTGCCCCTCGGGCAGCTGCTCACAGCCCCCTCACTCCGCAGACAACGGGCCCGTCGGCCAGCGGCGCAGTGGCACTGCCACCGTGTTCGTCACCGTCCTGGACGTGAACGACAACCGGCCCATCTTCCTGCAGAGCAGCTACGAGGCCAGTGTCCCCGAGGACATCCCTGAGGGCCACAGCATCGTGCAGGTAGGCGGGGGCTGGGGCAGGCTGGGCCACGTCACTCGGAGTGGCCGGTGCTGAGGAAAGGGAGACCCAGGGCCCCTCCCTTCTGGGGAGCATAGGACACCAGGTTACGTCGTCAAGGACAGGGCCCTGGCTCCCCCCAAAAAACACAGAGATGGTTTTGCCCTCCCCCTCTGCTCCCTTCCTCCCACAACTCTCTCCTGTCCCCCGCCCACCCGGGTGGCCCTTTCAGGGCAGGGGGAGGCGGCCATGTCCATTTCCCAGAAGGGGGCTGAGGAGGGAGCGGGCCCGGCGAGGCTCGGAACAGAGCGGCCTTCATGGGGCCCTTGGCCGAAGCCCCTCTCCTGGGGAGTAAACAGGCACGAGAAGAAAGGAGGCAGACTCGGGGAGAATGGAGAGGCCCTGCAAATGAGGCCTCAGTTGCTGGGTGGGAGGGAGCGGGAATGAATTACCCTCTTCATCAGCTGCGAGGGCTTCCGACCAACCAACCGGAGGCTGAGCCAAACAGCAGGTCTGGGCCTGTCCGCTGGAGCGGGCTCTGGGCGTGGGGTGGGGAGTGCGCCCAGCCCCCGGTGTCCGGACCAGGGGGGAGGCAGGAGAGGCTGGGAGCAGGGTGCTGACTCCCAGAGGCACCAAGAACCCAGAAAATCACGGAGGTTTGCAAGGGTCTGGGGCTGGTTCCAGAGAGAGGAGGTCCCCCCCCCTCCGGGTCTCCGCTCCTTGGGCTTGAGAGCACCTCTCCCCTAGCCTGGCACCTGCCACCCGCTCGTCCAGGGTCCAGGACCGGCCTGGGAACATCCCTAAGGGTAGGCCAGGCCTTTGAGAGCCCTGCCCTCCCAGCCCTCCCTTCTTCGGCCGAAAAGCCACCTCACCCCACCCCGAGTCCCCAGGAAGAGAGCACCTGGTGCCCCGCAGGGCTCCAGCCAGGAAATGATGCGGGCACCGGGCACCGACTTGGGAGGGATTCATCCTGGGATGTCTGGGGGGCAGGAAGAGGTTAACGAGCTGGAAAGGAGGGGAGCCAGCTGCTGGGAGACGGCTCCTGTCACACAACGGGGCTCAGACTGAAGCGCTAGGCCCTGCAGCAAGGCCGGGGCCTCTTCTCCGTTTCTCAGGGAGGTTCCAGGCATCAAGTTTCTGTCCAAGTGGGACACACTCTGGGACGTCATGTTGGCCTGAAAAGGCACCGCGAGCCTCTCCAAGGCTTGGGGAGAGCTGCTCTCGAGGGGTGTCTGAGGGAAGAGGAGGGCGCCTTAGGCTTGGGGGGGCACCCAGACTAGGCCTCCCTTCATTCAGTAAGCGGACTTCCGTGTCCCAGCGGTGAGGCCGAGTGAGGGAGAAGGCAGACAAGGGCGACCCACTGCCAAGAGCACGTGATCTCCATCCTCCCTTCCAGAGGGGCGAGGGGGCGGTTCCAGGCAGGAGGTGACAGCTGGAGAGCCTAGCGGGCTTCCCTGGGGAGGCGCCCTGTGAAGCGTGCGCACAGCCCGGGAGGACAGGGGTTCATTTCACCTGATGTCTTGGGTCAAGGTAAGGCTAGGAAGTCAGCTCACAGCCAGTTCCCAGAGGGCCCCGAGCACCAGACTGAGGAGCTCTGGCTTTATCCAGCCAGTACTAGGGAGCCACGGATGGTTTTGGAGCTGGCGCGTAGTGAAACTAGAGCTGACTCTTCGACAGGACCTGGCCAGCTGCACTGTGGGTCATAGCAGGGTGAGGGGGGCAGCCCCGCGGCCGAGCACAAGATGACCCTGGCCAGCAGCTCAGACCCCCCTCTGCCAATTCTCTATGAGACCCAACCAAAGTACAGGGCCCTTGGCTTTGTGAGGAGAGCTTAAGAGTTAGGATCTGAGAAGCCCACCCTCGTGGGGATTGCTTTGATAAAGTAGCCAATTAAGGACGCAGGCACCTAGTGTGGTCTAGGCTTGAAGCCCCATCGCTTTCCTGGAGGAATCTGGAGCCTCCCGCGGAAGGGAGGTCCCCCCTGGGTGAGGCTCGGAGCCCAGGTTGCATCACCTCCAGAGCTGGTAGAGCCTCCTGCCACTCTGACCCCGCACCAGGCCGGGACCCTGCAGAGAGCGTCGTCCCCCATCCCCAGCCCCTTCCTGCTCCATCCTAATGTGGGTGCATTGAAGGGGGACAGCCAAGATGGCAATTGGCTAGTCAGTACTGGGAGCCTCCCTTGCCCCTCCTCCCTGCAGGCACCCCGCTGCTCCCGGGGACTCCTCGGTGAATGCTCCGAGGGCCCAGGAAGTCCCAGAGGAGTCTCTGGCTTCCCTTTTGCCTTGGGCCCTGAGTTGGCCTAGAGGGCAGGACAGTACTTTGTCCCCAGTGTGGGCTGAGTTTTCCCTTGGCTGGAGGGAACATGTGGCCATTTGGCAACTCGCACTGAAACCTGAGCTGGGTTTGGCACTGGAGGGTGGGCATGGCTTCTGTGGGGAAGCAGGGGCCCTGGTCCCTGGAGGTGGCTGGTGCCTGGTTGCCAAAGAGGAACCCCAGGGCCCCAGGCTGTACTCTTCAGAGCCTCGGGCCCAGGGTCCAGATGCTGTGGGTTCTCAGCAGGCAGCGCGCAGGCTCTGGAGGGAGGAAGGGGTTCTTGCAGGGGCTTCTCTGAGAAAGGCTATGGGCCTGGGCACACAGGGTGTTGGAGGCGCTGTCTTCCTGCAGCTTGTTGTGCTGTGTCTGAGGGAGGGGGGTCCGAGGGTAGATCCTGGGTGCGGGGAACAGCCTGTCACATCTTGGTAGCCTCCGTGCAGTCCCAGGCGTGGCTGCTGTCGTGGTCCGGCTGGGAGCGGCGAGGTGCAGGCCGGCCCCGCGGGAAGCTGCGCAGGGAGCGGCGCAGGGAGCCCAGGCGCGTCCAGAGCCGGAGCTGGGGCTCGCTGGGGCTCCCGGGGTGGTGGGGCATGCACTCTCGGGCCTGGCCGCTGGGGTCCAGCGCTGCCGGTCTGCAGAGGGTCACGAAGAGCAGGCAGGAGGCCAGCAGGAGGAAGATGCAGGCCAAGGCGATGAGTATGGGCAGGGGGTCCGCTGCCTCCACAGGGCTCCCCCGAGGGACGGGAGTTGTGAGGGGGCTGGGGCCCTCTGTGCCCATGGCTCCTGCAGCAGGAATGGGACAGAAGCTCAGAGGCAAGTCAGCTGGACCCAGGGCTGGGGAGGGGAACACTGATGGGGGCTGGGCGCTGCTAAACTAGGAGTAGGTAGCACAGCCATTGTACAGGTGAGGACAGTGAGGCCCACAGAGGCGACAGGTGAAGGTCACACAGCAGAACAAAGGTCCCCTCCCTGCCCGCCTGCAGGGGAGGAGCTGGGAATTTTGCAGTCACTTCTCACGAATGGCAATAGTCTTAACCTGAAACCCGGGCTCGAAGGCCAACTCCATCCATACTTGCTCTGTGACCGGAATGAATCCTGGATCGTGAGAAGCTGGGGCTGGCAAGGACCCAGGCCGTGATCTGCTGCCAGGCGCAAACGGGCCCCCAGTGCGTTCCGTGGTTCTTACAGTCTTTTTGTAAATTTCAATTGTGATTCAAAACCACAAACAAACAGCAAAATGAGATTTCACATAAATATCTGAATGTCCGGCATCTCTTGAAATTTCAGAATGTCCGCACTGGCCCCCTGAGGCTGGTCGCCCCTGGCGCTGGTGGCCGCGCTGCGCTGCCGCTGCCTCCTTACACAGGCCCCGGCTCCCGCCGCCCACTGCGCCCCTGTGCCCCTGCCTGGCCCCATGGACCCTGCTTCCCGAGACCCTCCAAGCTGCTCCCATGGCAAGTGAGGAACTGAGTCCCAAATTAGGGTAGGCCAAGCCCAAGGACACACTGTGAGCCAGTGACCAAGTGAAGGCCAGAGCCAGGTTTCCTGACTCCTGGCCCCACAGTCCTGCCAGCCTCTGGCTCCCACCCTCTCCCAGGGCTCACGGAGCTGCTCTGAGTACAAGTGGAAAATAACCCACAGAGAACAGCGGAGTCGACGAGGTGAGAAACCCCACGCAAGCACCAGGCACCTGTTGTCGCCTACGGCCGTCCCACTAGAAGGAGCACGGCGATGGCCCTGGTGGATGAGGCTGAGCTCTCGGTTACAAGTAAAATGCTTAGAGCCAGGCTGGCGGGTAACCTGACGCAGGGCACAGGTGAGGTCTGCCTGGACGAGGCTCTCTAGGAAGCGCAGCCGGCCGGGCCAGGCCGAGAAATGCGAGGGCAGGCCCAGCGCCGTCAGCCCTTCCAGTTTCCCAAGAGAAGCCAGAAATCTAGATTTTCAGGCTAACTTTCCTGATGTTTAAATGTTGGCAACGAATTCAAATTTGGTGAACGTGAGATTGAGGGGGAGGGAGGGGAGGGGAGTGGGGGGAGAGAAAACACTGTCAAGACCAAACAAACTTGATTCCAGACACTTCGGAATAAATTTTCAAATGTTTAAAGCACTACAGCAGCCCAAACAAAACACACAAACGGGCTACGTCCAGCTTTGCAAGCCAGTATCTGTGATCTTTGATTTCAACAGACACAGGACAAGAAGCCCCAAGGATGGGCCAATAATAACCACTTATTTCTCTTTGCTCTTGGAGACTTCGGTGAGACTGGGATAGCAGATTTCCCTTCTCTCCCCAACTTGCAGCAGGTCTAACTCAGCCCTGCTCCTGCTCCCGCACCTCCACTGGCAGGAGGCGCCACCGAGCCCACGTCAGCAGGCGGCAGGAAGCCCAGAGGCCACCCTGCTCCCACCTCCCGACCCCCACCCCTAGTCCCCACACCAGGCACTCACCAGCAGCCACGGGACCTAACTCCAAGCTCCCTTCCTGCCTACAGCCTTGCCCTGTGCCCAGCCGACTGAGGGCATGCGATGCACCCCACCCGGCCTCCCACCCACTCCCTCCCACCACTCCTTCCAGGATTTCCAGGCAGAGCGGGACCCCTCCCAGCTCCCAGCTGGAAACTCTGATGCCTGTCTGGCTGCCCAGGGCCTCGCCTGCAGGCATCGCCTGGCGTGCTCCCCTCGGGCAGCCACATGGGCTGGCCCTCCTCTGAACCGAGCGGGAGGAGGGGTGAGGGTGCCCACTGCATCTCCCACGGGAAGAAGACCGGCGGGAGTAGCACGGGAGTGAAGTGGAGAAGTCTCAACCCTGCTGATCCTGCTGTCATTGCGAGGCCTCCGCGTGGACCTGGAGACCGTACCAGGCCAGCAGAGCAGGACCCGGCTTCGGTCCTTGTGGAAGCACTTTAATAAAAGGATACGTGAGCCTGGAATTAGCATCTGCGTAATTCCCTTGGAAGTAAGGGACTCCGGAGTCCTTGACAACATCGGGCCACCTCCCGGGAAACAGCAGGCCAGCTGCCGGGCCCTTGGCTCTCTCCCCAGCCAGGCCAGCTGGTCTGAAAAGGGCGGCGCCCACCAGCCACGGCCAGGAAGCTTCGTGAGGGCGGGCGAAGTCCCTCCCGCACTCCTGGAGTCCAGGGCACCGCAGCAGGCCCTGCTCTGGGCATAGCTCTAAGCTTAGTCTAGAACCTTCTTCCTGACCTCAGAGCTCCATAGAGCAGGGCCCAGGAACAGAGGGACTGACTCATAGCACATCTTGCTGTGTGGCTCAGGCTAGCCACGGCCCTTCATTAGGTCTTCCACTCTACAAAAGCAGGAGACTCCCCTGTCTGAGCACCCCCCCCCCGAGTATTCCAGCAAGCGTCTGGCCCCACTGTCCTCACCAGGCCCCTCCTGCAGCCCCCCAACACTGACCTCAGAGCCGGCTCTCAGCAGTCCGAGCAGGGTGAAGGGTCTCCTCAGCTGTCCAAAGGAGACCCCAGGAGCACCCTGCGCCCCTGTGACCCCAACCCACCCTGGGCTCTGCACTGCCCAGTGTCCCTCGGCCGGCCAGCCAGGCAGAGTGGGTCGCCTCCCTTCACTCTCCCGGCTTTGTCTGGAAGAGTTTGGGTCCTGCCGAAGGGGAGGGGACACCCAAGAGGGTAGGGATGGCAACTGGGTCGGGAGAGGGACAGGGGAGCTGTGTTCCTGAGCCTTCCAGGGGCCTCCCTCCAGCCTGTCTCCTTGGAGCCCTCTCGAGGGGCGGAGGCGCCGGGGGGACACGGGGAAGGTTTCAGTGGCTCTTCCCCCCTATGGCTCTCACCTTCCCCCACTGGACATTTGAATGGTATGGTCTGCAGCAGCCGGCCAGCTTCCAGGTTCCCGGGGAGAGGGGCTCGCAGAGGGCGAGGGCGGGCGCAGGCAGGCGGTGGGCCCTGGTAGCCCTGAGGCCCTTCGCCCTCCTGCCTCCCGGGCCCCTCACCTTCCAGGCTTTTCCCTCTACTTCCCTGAGAGGACTTTCCCTTGAAGGTGTGCCGTGGGGGCTGAGAGGCACTTTGAAAGGCAAGGAGGTCCAGGGCAGAAAGCCTGGGTGGGAGGGGCAGCCCCGCTGTGCAGCTTGCAGTGTGGGTGGGCCCCGGGAGACCCCCGCAGTGCTCTCCCCACCCCCACACTCCCCACACCTTTCCCACACACCTCCCACACGCCCACATATCTTCACCCCACCCACACACCCCACACTTGGCACCCCTCCACAAACACCCCCACCCCCACAGAGACACTCCTCCCCCAACCTGCTTTCTTCCCAGAAGCCAGATCTTCCCTGGCAACAAGCTGCCCTACTTCTTAAGCCACATTTCCATCAAGGACCCCCAAGCTCCCAGAAATATAGCAGAGGGGGGAAGTTGTGGCTGCCCAAGACCTGCGCCTGGGGCCACCCTGTCTGTAGGAGCCCTCGTTTGGGTTTTTGAGCCGCTGCTTCCTGCCCTTAGCTCTTGAGCAGAGAAGAAGCGCTCGGCACAGCCCCGGTGGGTCGCTTTCCCTGGGCTGTCAAAGTCCACCAGGTGACTGAGAAGTCACCTCATCCAGCCCCGCCTCTCTCAGATAATACGTGGTCCAGAGAGGTGTGGCCTGGCCGGGGCCACCCAGTCCAGAAGCGTCATGCAGTCCACCGCCCTAGGTGAGGTGCCTGGGAGCTCAAAAGGCTAAAGGTGGGAACTGTGGAGGTATGAGCTGACCTGGTCAAGCATGGTGCTGTCACCCGCTTCCTCCCCATCCTCCCCAAGCACCTGCCGGGGGATCAAGAACAGAACTGGCAGGTCCCCCGCCATGGACAGGGCAGCCTGGAGACATCTGGGGCCAGGTGTCTCGGGAAAGAGAAAGACAGACATGTCCCTCTCCTGTCCCACACCCAGCCTCCGTGGGAAACCACAGGTCTGGGCAGGACAGGCTCGAGTGGTGTGGAGGGGAGGGGAGGGTCCCCACAAACATCCGCTCTCCCATGGACTGGAATTCAAGGACTGACCTTGTTTCATCCTTCCTCAGCTCAAGGCCACAGATGCCGACGAGGGCGAGTTTGGGCGTGTGTGGTACCGCATCCTTCATGGTGAGTGGGAGCCCAGGATGGCAGGGCCGGCCCTCCCGCCCTCGGCAGGGCTTCCCTAGGCTCCCAGGAGTCGCACCCGGGGCCCCAGGGGAGACGGGAACACTCTCCAACCATTTGGCCCAGTTGGACGTGAGGCTGTGGCATTTGACTGCTTTGCTCCTGAAGTCCAGAGGGGTCCTGAGGGCCGGGCACCCCTTGGCAGCTAGCTCCCCAGAGTCTGAATGTCATTTGCCCAACATGTATCGGTGCCCGTCCCTTAACCACCACCATTGCCTTGGACTCTAGGGCAGTGCTCCCTGCTTCCCAAAATGAGTCCCAAAGCACACGGGCTGAGAGTGAGGGAGGGCGGATCCCCAGAGGAAAAGCAGGGGCGGGCATCGGACCAGCCCAGATGAGTTCCCCAAATCCAGGCTTTAACCGCCTATGGGGAATTTGGTTGGCTCCCTTTTCTGCCCAGAGCCCTCTGAAATATTCGCTCCACTGACACCTCTGGGTGTGGAGGTCTCCGGAGTCTCCCAGGCTTCCCTTGGGGGTACAGAGTAAACGTCTTCCCCCTCCTTCCAATCCTGCCAGGCCAGAGCAGCATGAGGCAGGGGCCTGCTTGCCACTGTGGGCTTCAGCCAAGCTCCTGAGACCTCTGGGCAGGGTCAGCATTCTCGGGAGCTGGGTCCCCCTTTTCACCCCCAAAATCCCACGAGGATCCTGCTCCAGAGCAGAGTTCATGCATCTGTCTCTCCACACAGGTGACCATGGCAACAACTTCCGCATCCACGTCAGTGACGGGCTCCTGATGCGAGGGCCCAAGCCCCTGGACCGGGAGCAGGACTCATCCCACGTGCTGATAGTGGAGGCCTATAACCACGACCTGGGCCCCATGCGCAGCTCCGTCAGGGTAAGGCGGGCGGCGGGGCAGCTCCAGAGCCAGGCAGCAGGGAGCCCCGCGTCTCCTCCCGCACTGCCCTCGGGGCTGGGCCGAGGCCACGGCTGGACTGCCCAGAGCCACCAGTGGGTCCCGGCGGGGCAAGGCTGCCGCTGACTCAGGTTCTGAATAACACTTGGTGCCTGGGATCTTGGATGTGTCGTTTTTCGGAGCCTCAGTTTCTTCAGAGGTGGAAGGGGGTCGATGATGGGGTGAAAGAGGTGTCCTGACCATGCTAATCCCTGTATCTACACGACTCTAGGGTGCCAAGGAAATCTCAGTGTGGTCGTAGCGATGCGGACGTTGCCCA